ATCAAGCATGTCTTTTGGTTTAAATAAATAACTAATATTAAAATTATTACCTCAAAATCTTTAAATAGAAGTTAATGCTTAAAAACAGCAGTCAAAGTTTTAAGGTGGAAATAATTGTATGTGTGTCTATATTTTCTTTTAAAATCTCACATATCTAGACAAATTATGTTAAGTAGCCAAGTTTAGTATATTTTGGTTTCTTTGTATAAATTATGCTAATTTTTACCTGTTACTTCTTGTGGAATGACTGTAGTATTCAATAGCATTTAAGTACAAAAGAGAATATTGATATAAAACATTGTCAATTTAATTTTATTCAACATGATAATGTTTTATATATTATATGTGGTCATTATAGGCATGTAACTAATTTTGAATTACCATTTCTAGTAGGTAGAATTGTGATCTTTTAGAATGGATATGCAATTATTAGTAGTTATTGTTGTTTAATGAAATCTCTTTGAAGATCCTTTATTTTGGGGTATAAGTAATTTTCGTTTATAATATACTCACATATATATTTCAAGTCTCACTTCCTTATAAAGATAAAGATGTGGTCATTCTTAAAAAGAAATAACTAACTATTTTAGGAAGACAGTAAAAAAATAGAAATTATTTGTTGACACACTGTACTTTTTAGAACAAAAACACTAATCTGGTCAACTAACCTTTAAAAGAAAGTGCAAAGTCAGAGATGTCACTTCGTTGCAGTAAATATTCACTGGCAAAGTTTTTATATCAAAGATTGGAACTTTAGGAGATGCTCCTGGGATTTAGTGTACTCAAAAATCTATTAAACCCTGATACCTTAGGTGACTTGTCAAAGAAGTGCTGCATTTACAAGGAGGCCCAAGAGGGTATATTCAGCTAAAGGTCAAGGAAGCAATTAATGTTCTCTGCTTTTCCCTAAAGAACTTCCACAGCAAACATTGCACTCCCCCCGCCCCCCCTCATCTTAGCAAGGCAAGTGAATATAGTGAAATGAAAGTTAAAAGTTAAAATAAAACATATTACTAATATTATTTGGTTCTTATAACTCTTCCTGAATGTGAATGTGAATGCGAAATATATTAGAAGAGGGGCTCTTGCTGAAGAATATCAATTTTTCATCTCTCTGTTTTCTCTGCTCTCTGCCAAGAGTCCATCGATGTTTGTGGTCCTGGTGGAGTGGGATGGTAGATTGGGCCCTTCCTGTGGCGTGTAGTGAAGTTGGAATTCTTTGGGGGAATATCTGATTTTGTTTGGGTCCTAAGCAGGACTCTATTAAGGGGTTACATAATTTAGAACAGGAAATCATCTATGTCTTTCACAGGTTGACATGGTGTTCCTTCTTCTGTGTTTCATTGTGTTTTCCTTTCACCTCCATTTTAACAGTTGCCATATGACATTGCATTGTCCATTTGTCTGTTTCTGCACATCTGTCAGGTTCACCAGCACAAGGACTGTATCCTTGAATTTTTTCATTTTCAGTCACTAGACAGTGTGTAGGGTTTAGTGAATACTTGTTGAATGAATAAATGAATGCATATCTTAGCCTGTCATTTGAAACACTTCTCTCCAGTCTACTGAGGAATCTTACTCCCCGTTCCTTCCCTTCTCTTCCAAAGTCTGATATTTCTTTCTCTCCATTACTGGCTTCCTTTTGACTACTTTTATTTACTTTCTCTCCTACATTTCCTTAGCACATTTTATCTCTATGATAGCACTTCTCCACATGATGTCATGTAGTTATTTTATGGAGTCATAGAAATTTAGTTGTGCAGTGGCCTAGTCCAACTAGACCAAACATCAACCTGGTCTATCCCTAATATCTAGGAAGAATAGTCTTCTGGTTTCTGTTCGATAGCTTCTGGGGACTAATTACTTACTATGTTTTGAGGCGAGCCCTTTTGTTTTAGAAAAGGTTTGATTGTTAGAAAAATGTTAAAAATCTGCTTTATTGTAATTATTTCCCTTGGCTTCATATTCTGCTCTCTGAGAACATCACACACACACACACACACACACACACACACACACACACACACACACACACACACTCCAATCTCTTCTATTTGCTGCGCCTTCAAATTTGTGATAACTCCTGTGTTCCCTCGATTGTTTCTTCTTTCTGATGAAAATGCTGATCTTCCAAAACTGCCTTCATATGGCTGAGGGTCAACAGTCCTCACCTCCCAGTTGCTGCAGTTTTCAGTGCCCTCTAAACTGGGGCTTTCCAAACTGAATGTGCGGCTACAAATATGACCAGAGCACTTTCAAGTAGAGTTCTATACATCCCTTGTTTTAAAATTATATTGTTAACAAGGTCTGGTTATTTAGCTTTGTTGATAGTTGTATTTTCATTTTTGTCTCATATTGAGCTTGTGGTCAATTAAATGTGTATATCTTTTGCCCTCCACAAATAAGTCATCCTGAATGTGGACTTTATATTTGTCTTTATCAAATTTCATATGAAGTCCAATCCACTGCTATAGCCCATCAAGATATTTTGTTTCACATTCAGTTTTCTACTATAATTCCTCATTACACATATCATTTGAATATTTGATCACACTGTTATCATCAGTCAAACCAGTAACAAAAATGTCAATCAGAGCAAAGCTGCAAACACCCATTTATTAGAAAGGTGGGAGCCAAAGCCAAGTACTTAAGGGGTATTGTGGAAAAACGAACTTATATCCAATTCTTCATGGGGTTGGCATGAGGTACCTCATGTATTACTGAAGTTCAGACAGTTGTGTCTATGAATCTGTACTTTTTCCCGAGGGCAGAACCATGTCTGTCTGGCTAACAGCTGTCTTCCATCATCTAGCTCAGTGCCTGGCACATAGCAGGCCTTCAATACATATGGTTTTGTTGAAAAAGTAAATGGAACAACCAAGGAACAAATGTTCTGGCTTAAAGTTTTGTTTGTTTGTTTTTTGAGGCTTAGGTTTTTAAAATGAATCTTTTCTGCCCATCTCTTTCTCTTTTAAAGAACTACAAACTTTTTCCTTTCCTTTGTTTCCTTAGTCTTTATTTGCCACCTTCTCTTCTGTGGAGAATTAAGCCTGGATTCATTAGTGTTGAGGTTGGGGAAGTGGCAAAGAACAAAGACAAGACTTGAAGGATCAGGAATTGGTGTAAGAAAGAAATAGTTTCTCTATTAATTCAAATCTTATGTTAGATAGGTTAAACCTAAGACACACTTCCTTTATGAAGCCATCCCTGAGTAACCTCCATCATAGTGATTTCCCCTTTTTTATTTAACTGTAGAATCCACCCCCTGAGCATTATGCGGTATAATTGTATGAATTTAAGATGTACAACTTGTTTTACACATTGTGAAATGAATACCATAATCAAACTAGCATATCCATCACCTCACATAGTTAACATTTTCTTGTGTGTGTGTGTGTGTGTGTGTGTGTGTGTGTGTGTGTGTGTGTGTGTGTGGTGAGAATACTAAAGGTCTACTCTCAGTAAATTTTAAGTATGTAATACATTATTATTTTTTTAATATATTTTATTGATTTTTTGCAGAGAGGAATGGAGGGGGATAGAGAGTTAGGAACATTAATGAGAGAGAAACATCGATCAGCCACCCCCTACACACCTCCCACTGGGGATGTGCCCGCAACCAAGGTACATGCCCTTGACTGGAATCGAACCTGGGACCCTTCAGTCCGCAGGCCGATGCTCTATCCACTGAGCCAAACCGGTTAGGGCTGTAATACATTATTATTAACTGTAGTTACCATGCTATACATTAGATATCCAGGACTTATTCATCTTGTGTAACCAAAATTTTATACCCTTTGATCAGCATCTCTTCATTTCCCCCACCTCCCAGTCCCTGCCCATTCTACTCTCTGCTTCTATGAGTGACTGTAGAATTTTCAGTTGTACAATTCAATATTGCACAATCAATTATTTTTTATTATATGCTGATCTTACTTTATCATTTAGTTTTATAACCAAAATATCATTAAAGTTATAACAACAATAATAATAACAATAATATGTTGAGCCACATGTAATTGTAGACAAGGTGCTAAGTGCTTTGCATGCATCATCTTATTTCCAATCTCCCAACACTTTTTGATGTATGTTTTTCTATATTTCCCATTTTACAAATAAGAAATTGGAGGCTTAGAGAGGGATGTATATCTTGGTCCATAAATAGTTTGTAAATTCTTTGGGACTATTAAGTTCTTTTTAAATTACATCTTTTTAGTAGTTTAGTTTGGAACAACCAAAAAAGGAGCTCCTTTTTGGCTCCTTTATTTACAGGTTGTATGACTCTCTGAATCCTGGTTTTTTATCTGTAAAAGTGCAAAGAATAATGCATATCTTATAAGGTTTGTTGCAAAAATTACATGAAATACAATATACAATGTATTTAACATGGGCTGACATGTGAAAAAAGTGCTCAGTAATTGGTAGTTAATGTTGCTAATTAACTTCATGTAATGTTGATGTTATAGTACCATGAGTTATGCCCCCCAAAATAACATAAACATAAGTAATAATAAAATAGTACAAGAGTATATTGTTGGATGGTGTTAAATATTTTTTATCCTAATAAAGGCAAGTCATAAAGGATATGCATTACTGAAATAACTGAAACTGCATTATACAGCCAATGTGAATAGTTGGGTTCTTATATTCCATCACCAATATTTCTTTTGTCCTAGTTGAACATATTGAGTTGCCTTAAAATATATTGCTTTTAAAAACTATATTAACATTTGTTTCACATAATTTTGCAGAAATGGACAGTGGTGATTTCAACTTCAGTGAAATCAGAAAGATGTTGTCATCCTGATGTATGGAATGTTAGCTTACATCATGAGTCATTTTCAAATAGTTTGTTTACCTTACTAGTACATTGCACCTAAAGTCAGTGAATATTCAAAAGTAACTTAGAATAAGTAGAAACATTGCATTTCCATCAGGCTTTCCTTTTTCATTATCTTACTAACACAACTGTAACAATTGCCTTTTTCTTTTCCTTTCAGGAGACAGAGAAGACAATGATGACAAGAAAGTGGTTGCAGAGATCATGGCAAGGTGTTTTTTTCCCGCTCTAGTAACAACTATCCCCTGGGAAGGATTTCATTTTGTTGGTCATGAGATTCGAATTACTGAAGCCATGGATTGTTATGGTGCTGTTGTTTGGCCATCGGTATAATTTCATACAAAATTTGTTACATTTCAGTTATTTTCAGTCAGTTTTGTTCATTATTATGTACTATTTGGAAAAAGAAAATAGGTTTCATAGTTCTATTTTTTGACCTCAAACAACACTAAAACTTAGAAATCATGAAATTGGGAAAATGCTTCCACCAATTAATTCTACTTCTGACATGTAGGATTAATAAAATGTTGTTTGCATCTTGAGAGTTTTGTGACCCTAAGGGTTTAGAATTGTGAACATTTTATTTCTCATTTAACTGGCGCATTTGAGTTAACCAATTATAATGAAATGTGTATCAATGTCAACATGGAGAATAGTCTAAAATATTCTCCTTTACTAATTGTCCCATGAAGGGTTCAGACCCCTCACTGCTATTTGCTCCAATCTCACACATTCTTTGAAATGATTATTATTAGTAATTGCTTTCTTTAAAGATAATCAACCTAAGCAACTGAACTCCATATTTTCAGTTGTCTCTTTTCTCCTCAACAATTCCCAAAGACTCTTTCTAACCTAAATGTTGAGTCTTTGGAGGATGTACTTCTGTTGATAATTTTCTGTAGTTTTATCGATGTAGATACACACACATACATATCAAAGCATTAGTGGGATATTTATTTAGTAGGGTTTAATTATACATCAGTTATTACTGGCCAAGTACTATGTACTTTTTCTTTTTAACTTTCATAGGCCCTTGTTCTATGCTATTTTCTGGAGACAAATGTAAAGCAGTATAATATGGTTGACAAAAATGTGATTGAAATTGGAGCTGGAACAGGGCTTATTTCCATTGTGGCAAGTTTACTAGGTAAGTAGGTATATTTTTTATTATTTATTTATTTATTTATTTTGCTGCAAAAAGCTTTATTGTTTCATTTGGTCCGATGCACGGGAGAGGGCTTCAGGGTGGTCAAAAGAATGGATAGTAATTTCATGGAGAGGCTCAGGTAAAAGCCAGACACCAGGGGAATGCAGACGGGCCCCTCAAAGGCCTCTGGGCTCCAAAGGCTCCTAGTCGTGCTTGAGGGTGAGCCTTTCTAAGGGATACTTGCCCAGCCCAGTCTTTGGGCCAGCTGTTAGTCAGGTGTCGCCCATCTTCTTGATGAATTTCACCTCCTCATCCAGGAAGTGGTTCTCCAGGAAGTCACAGAGCTGAGGGTCTGCATGTTAGAACCCAAGGCATCCAGCTCTAAAACGGCCTGGTTCAGGTTCCTCTCCAAGGTCAGGGCAGCTTCCATGGCATCCTGAGTTTTGCCCACTCATCTTGGGAAAGCTTCAGCACATCCTGGAAGAGAATGCGGCCGCCACGCTTGTTTTGCAACTTTAAGAGATGCTCAGTGCCCTTTCGCTTCTTCTCTGCCAACTCGCACCCTCTGCCTCAAGAGCCACATCTTCCGGGTTGAAATAGAAGCCCAGAGAGAGGTAGGTGTAGGAGGCCCGCAGATACAGGTTGGCCAGACGGTTGACTGCAGCCTCCACCTCGGTGGAATAATTCTAACAAATTTGGCAGCTCACAGTTGTTCAGCAATAAGGAGTTAAGGTAGGAAAAAAAACTGGTGTGTTGGCTGGTCCTGGAGGTGGTTCTGAGGGTGGTGACTGGATAAGATGCAGGAGAGTGGCCGGAGGCTGGAGAAGGGGCATCCCTGGTTCTGTTCTGTCCAAAAACCATTGAAGCAAGAGACAGATCCAGGACTGCCGAGGGCACTGCCTAGGACTAGGTATTTTTGATTGAATAGTGTTTAAAGAATTTAATGATCAAATATCATTATCTGCTTTAACTATTCAATGTACTATGACCTTGGCCTATTTTTAATTCCTTAATTGTTTGAATGAGCTTCATCAAGACACTACAAATTTTAAAGTCACCTTACTGGTTTCTTTTAGAATTTTCTGTGAAGTTGTATTAATTCTTCTCAGGGAATGCTAAGTCACAAATGTATTCTAATTTTGAGGTGCACTTAAGCATCCTGGCTGGCTGCTAGAGGAGATGCGTGAAATACTAAGTATAGGCAAAATCGACTCCTGCTGACTCTCATATTCTGTATCTAAATTTTAGCCCATTTTAACATTTCCATGTAGCCATATATTTCTTTTGGGTTTTGAAGTCCTCTGCTTTTATGAAAAAGCCCTGTTAGAATCGAGAAGGAATATTAGAAATCATGTCTGCTTTTAATTTTATGTATTTGCCCTTGGCTTTATTTTCGCAGTCAGTTTCATTCTTCTTTTGCAACCTCTTGTTCTCTCACCAGAATCTTATTTTCCAGTTAAATGTGTGATGGTCTCTATGCATGCTTCAGCCTGCTCTAGTTAAGTCTTTTCGTTGTTGTTGTTACAGATTGATTGTCTTGATTTAGCTGCCTTTTCTGATATGTGCTACCCAAATCTTAATTTCCTTGATCTTCAGAAGTGCACACTCGCCACTCTAAAATCTTGAGAAGAACTCAAGATTTAGCAATTTATAACTTTCTAAAAACTGGGAAAATATAGGACCCTTGAAGTCCTCCTCAAATATATATAATTTCTCTGTCCTGATATTGCTTTCCAAAGTCATCATTCCATTTTGTATGGATAGAGTCTAAGGCCCTATTGAAGGTTTCCCTATCTAGGAGCAGAATTTGTGTTTGGGCTGTCATTTGTTTCATTAAAAAGAATTATTCTTTCAGTGTGCTTGTCTATCTAGACAAAAATATCAAAAGATTGAAGCTTTCTTTAGTCAGTATTCAAAAAATGGTGGTGTTCACTTCTCTAGACATAATGATATTAATAGTTAGATATTTTACACTCACTGTAAGTAAGGGTGAATTTCTTTTCTTGGGGTTTAAAAAATATTTGTAGAAAATGACAGAGCACCCACATTAGAGTTGAAGATTCATATTTCTGTGATTCTATCAATGATGTGCATATTTCCCTCCCATTTTAGTATTTTCCACAAAATACAATTAATGGCCAGAGGAACTTACCATTGGGACTAAGGAATGGATTCTAAACTGGTCTGGGCTGAACTAGACTTCTCTTCCAGTTCTGCTTTCCCATTGCTTACTGAGTCTGTTTTTGTCTGATGATGTGGAATTGACCAATCCTAGATTTATTTACACATTATTTTCAGGCTCTACTGCTGCTCAAAGTTTACTTTAAGGGCCAAATTTTATCGATTATTGGACCTTCCAATTTCCTCCTGAAAATGACCACCAATATTCACTTTTAACTAGGAAATGGTTTATGTTGTCTTCATCTGAGCATTCTGTTCTGCATCTGTGATCTTTGGCTGCATGAACACTATATGCAGCTTGACTTAAAATTAGGTCAAGCTGAAAATTTGGGCATAAACATGAATGTCATGATACTGTCAATGTAATGCCATTGAAAAGTCTTTCCTCCCCCCATTTCTCATATTTTACTACTTGCTATTCAATGATAGGATGCCCAATGTTGTATACACTTGTTCAGCCTCACAGGACTGGGGCTCAGAATTCTTTTAGGGAAGAAACTGGTCATCTTTCAACAATGACTTTTGATTGTTCCAGCAAGGATACCAAATCTTTTTAATTTCCTTTTCTCTTGATTAGTTTTTCCTAGCATTTAGTAGATAAATAGAAAATAACAGCAGCAACAACAAAGCAAAGAAGAAAACATTGGAACAGAAAAATGGAGTGCAAAAGTACCATGGGAATCGAATTTTGTTAAGGGGAGGAATAAAACTGCCCTAGCATCATTTTTGAAAGGGATTTCTCTGCTGTGTGTACTGACCATTTTTTTCCTTGGAACTAGCAGTTGTGCAGAATTGCAATATGCATGTAGGTTTGAAGCTGGATTGTTTATCCCATGAGGGTTACTTTTCTACTGCCCTTTGCTTCACAGGTGCACATGTGACTGCCACAGATTTACCTGAATTACTTGGAAACCTGCAATATAATATATCCCGAAACACCAAAATGAAATGTAAGCATTTGCCTCAGGTTAAAGAACTCTCCTGGGGCATAGCTTTAGACAAGAACTTCCCCAGGTCTTCCAACAATTTTGATTATATCCTGGCGGCTGATGTTGTCTATGCTCATCCTTTCCTGGAAGAACTCCTCATTACCTTTGACCATCTGTGCAAAGAAGCTACCATCATCCTCTGGGTCATGAAATTTAGGTTAGAGAAAGAAAATAAATTTGTAGATAGATTTAAGGAGTTGTTTGACCTAGAGGAGATTTCTAGTTTCCCTAGCTTGAATATTAAGCTGTATAAAGCTATGAAGAAAAATCGAAGGAGTGCATGATATCCTCAAAGGAGGACTTGGAAAGCAAAGGCAATTTCTAGTAGATGATGACTTTAAAGAAGACCCTGGATAAGATGATGCAGCACTGACTTTCTCAAGGGGGAACACATGCGCGCGTGCACGCACACACACTTAAACACACACACTTACACACTTGCTATATCCAAGATAGCAATTTTCCAATTTATAGCACATGGGTTTGGAGGATGGAAAAATCATACTATGTGGTTAGGACATTGGTTAGGACAATGTCTGCTTTTTTAAATTCCTACTTCCATAGAACGCTTTATTATTATGATCATTGTAATAAATAGTGCAATTATTGTTATTTTTAATGGGTAACTGTAGAATGGTGGTTTTCAATAATGATATCTAAAAAAAACTTACATTATTCTCTCGTTAAAAGTAAAGAAATAAACTATAGTGGGATATGCAAATAAATCTGAATGGTAATAAATATACCATTACCATAATATAATGGTAAATGTTAGATTATTGTGGTTTTCGTTAGTGCCAGCCTATAGGCAGTCTATCATCTCTGGTTGGCAGGGTGGGCCTTCAGCACAACCTTTGAAATCAATCAAGCTTGTGGATTTGAGGTTATAGGCAAGGACATTTCACTCTGGTAAATGAAAAATGAATGGAAGCAAACATAAAACAGTTGGGATTTTGGAGGAGTTATTGCTTTATTTTTAAGCCAAGTACAGTTATTTTTCTTTATCACAAAAATAGAAATACATATAAAAACTTTGGATAGAAAATACACATAAAAAGATATAGGCTCTAATCTCAAATAACCAGACAAATGGCTGTTTAAAGTTTAAAGCTCTTCTGATGAACATATAGATCGAGATATTTGAAATCCTATGTGATTTTTTTTTCACCTGGGCCTTAAGAGATTAGAAGTCTGGAGTAATTAAAGTCAGTGAAAGGAGAGCAAAAAATTAGAATTTTGTTCCATGTAACAAGAGTGCATTGGTTGGTAACTACTCTTCAGTGTCCCCAGGAATGTTTGCTAGGCTACCACAGTGCCCTTGGTAGCCTCGCAAGGCTTGCTCTCCTAAACCCAGCTCTTTTGGCTTTGCTGGAAGTTCTCAGTTCACTCAGGATGAGTAGAGCTAAAAGGATTATTTCCTAGGACCCTGATCTGTAAGCCAGATGCAAGTATGTTGCCAGTGGATTCTTTGATATGTACAGTTCATAGGGCCATTTCTCACATAGTTTTCACAGCCTGTTGCATACATAATCCTTTAATCCTCACAGCCATTCTAAGAAGTGTAAGTAATGTCATTATCCCTACTTCACAGATAAAGAAAGTGAGTCTGGGAGCTGTGAAGCCACTTGCCCCAGGCTATGCAGCTGCAGAGTAGCAGTGATGGGCTCTCACGCCCTGGCTTGTTTGAGCACAGAGCCTGTGTTCTTCTTACTTCCTGCCTTTGTGTATAAAAACCAGTAATTTTTACTCTTTTTTAAAATGAGTAATTTCTTCAAAATGAAATACCCAGAAAGGTAAGCGAATACATTAAGGAGGACGAGAACTGTTCCTCCTTAAATCTTTATCTCTTTTCTTGCTTTAAGCGGATGGTCAGGGTAGTCCCCTTTGGAAGGTGACAGTTAAGCAAAGCTGGAAATTGGTGAGAAAAGTAGCAGTGTAGATATCTGTAGAAGTGTGTAGAGGGGGCTGGATTGTGTCAGTCTCTGCTGCAGTCTGGGTTCTCTGGAAGAAGACCCAGAGGTAGAATTTGATGTGCAGGTCATTTATTAGAGACTGCCTTTGGGATCAAGACCTGTGGGAAGGAGCAGAAGCATGTAGGACAAAAGTAGAGGTCAAGCTACACTGCTGGCCCAACTACAGCCACAGCTGACCTCCACATAGAATGCTGGACCCAGAGTGGCCTTTCAGAGGTGTTCCAGATTGGGTTGAAATGGCTGGGCCTTGATAGCCCCTTGTCATTCAGTCACTGCTGCCCTGAGAAGGCTCTGTGAACTTGGGTAAGGTGACTCTCTTCAGCAGACCTTGACAGCTGCAGACCATCTGCCATCAGCACTTCCAGCAGCAAGGTGATAAGTCATCCTGCAGGGTATCTGGGCAGTACATCAGTGTTCACCACAGCCTTTAAGGTCATTGAAAGAACTTTGGCTTTTCTTCTGGTGCCAAAGGAACACTGAATGCTTTGGAGTAGAGGAGTGAAAGCATATCATTGTATGTAAGGACCATTTCAAGAACATTTAGGAAGGGGCAAAGAGACCTGTTAGGAGGCTGTGGCAGCCATCCAGGCAAGAGGGGATGGCAATCTGCAGCAGGGAATGTGCCATGGAAGTGGTGAAAATGGTCAGGTTTATTACTTTTTTAAAAATATATTTTATTGATTTTTTACAGAGAGGAAGGGATAGGGATAGAGAGTTAGAAACATTGATCAGCTACCTCCTGCACACCCCCTACTGGGGATGTACCGGCAACCAAGGTACATGCCCTTGACCGGAATCGAACCTGGGACCCTTTAGTCCGCAGGCTGAGGCTCTATCCACTGAGCCAAACCAGTTAGGGCTGAAAATGGTCAGGTTTAGATGTGTTTGGAAGCTAGAGCCAATAGAACTTCCCATCATATTGAATATGTGTGTGAGCAGAGAGAGGACACAAGGCTGAATCTGAAGTGTTTGGTCCAAGCTACTGGGCATGAAATTGGAGCATCAACTTAGAAATGGTGTGTAAAGCCCATTCAGGGAGCAAGAGTGAAGAAAGCAAGGACTGATTCCTGAGATTGAGCAACATTAAAAAATTAGACATAACTGTAGTCGAGATTTTTTTTCAAGATTCTGCTTGGACCCCAAAAAAGTTACATTAGTATCTGTTAACTCTGAGATATGTATTTTCTACCACGGTGATTTTGGACTGGTCCCTAGAGGTCCAAGATCCCTCAAAGTTACCTCAGGTGTCTCTAGGAGTATTTTAAGTGCAGCAGCAGGAATCTAGGGATAACAAGAGAAAAAATGGCTCCTTTCCTAAAAATGCTTGAATATCTCTACTAAGCTATTTTTAGGTAGGATAAAGTGTCCTTACTTCAAAGACTGTGTTAGGACCATATGGTTCATAACAGCTCCTCTTTCTCTAAGTGTCAATCTGTCAAACATGGTGTTCAATATCCATTGTTCTATTCTGTTTATAGCCTTCATTTGCAAAGTTTAACGCCCACCCACACACATTGTGCCCCTCCTGTTTCACTTCATTCTGTGTGTTTGTCTACTTTTACCTTTTTGCTGTAGTTTCTCCACACTTTTCTATATTCAATTTTATAATAATTTAATTTTAAAAATATAATTTGAATAGACTTTTTCTAACTCATAGTTTTACTTTTATAGCTAGGAATTAAATTTGTCAACTTTAACCCAAGAGAATTATGCTGTGAACTTTGTCTTTACCTGACTTCTTTTGAGAAATTAAACTATATTAATGAAAACCTCATTCAATTCTTACAGTAACTTTCTGGGTTTCTAAAAAAATAAATATACCAATTATCAAGGTTTAAATAAAGGTTATCATGGTATAGTTATTGCTTAAAATTTACATGTTATGTACATGTAATACCCAGTGTTGTGCTCCAGAGTGCATCAACTGACTTTAGGAAACTAAGTGCTATCTTAGAATAAAATTCTTCTGTCTTAGAATTTTCTGACATATCCTATTTTATTTGTACCAATATTTTACCTACTATAACTTTAAAAAAATGGTTTTCATTCTTTATTTATATTCAGTTCTCTTTTTGGATAAAGAATTGTGGCATTGGGTGACTTCCTGACAGATTTGGAGCCAACTGTGTACACTTGCTATTTTGAAAGAAAAAAATGAGGAAAAACAATAGAATGGACTCTCCTCCACCCCCCACCTTAAATCCTTAGATTCCAGGAGCTTGGTTCTTTCTGTGAATGCCTGGTCTTTATAGACAGAGAATATGCCCAATTTGTTTTAAGCAGTGCTATTGGCATGTGAGCTGATACATGGTTTCTGAATACTTTTGGAAATAGAACATGTCCCCTGGATAGGATTTTGGTGTACTAATTTTAAAAACAAGCTGGAACCTTGGGTTCTAGAAATAAAAGACAAAGTCAACCATAAGTAGATCAGCTAGGCAATAAAATTGATAAGCTTAGGAGAAAATTAATATGCTGTACCTCTTCATTTAACTCCATTTTAGCTTAGTTTTCATGGAAATCTGCATGTGGAGAAAGTAAAAATTGTCAAATATTGCATTTTCCACACCGTATTATCCTATATAATTAAAAGCTAATATGCAAATCAACCAAACAGTGGAACAACTGGTCACTATGTGTGTACTGACCACCAGGGGGCAGACGCTCAATGCAGTACTCCAAAGCAGTACTAAGGATGTCTGACTGATGGCTTAGGCCAGTGGTCGGCAAACTGCGGCTCGCAAGCCACATGCGGCTCTTTGGCCCCTTGAGTGTGGCTCCTCCACAAAATACCAACTTCTGCGCATGGGCCAAGAAGTTTCAATCGCACTGTACATGTTCGCCCACACGTGGTATTTTGTGGTAGAGCCACACTCAAGGGGCCAAAGAGCCGCATGTGGCTCGTGAGCCGAAGTTTGTCAACCACTGGCTTAGGCCCACTCCCCACAAGCCATCAGTTGGACATCCCCCGGAGACTCCGGGACTGCAAGAGGGCGCGGGCTGGGGTGAGGGACCCCCTCCCCCAAGTGCACGAATTTCATGCACCGGGCCTCTAGTAATAATAATAAGAAACAAAATTGAGAATGGAGCAGGAAAATAATTTTACAAAATGTAGGGGAATATGGCAAAGCAAAATTTAAAAACCATAGGCATTTGTGAGTGTTTGTGTGTGGAACTCTTTTTTAAAAAAATCCTTATTATTGAAAATATTACATATGTCCTTTCCCCCCCCATTGACCCCTTCTGGAACTCATTCTTTATATCTCCTTTATGAAGCCAGGAAATAGTTCACAAATGATTTCCCCATCCAG